TATTACTTTTATATAGTTATTATACATACACAAACAAAGCCTTTCCCATTCGGCTCGAGTCCCCACTCTCTTTTTTTCTCTCTTATTTTTCCACGGGCTCTATTTTTCTCGGTTCGTTTGTCGTTTGTTGTTGTCTGTTTGTTCGGTTCTCTTACTCTTTTTCTGTACGTATATATTTATATATATGTATAGTATGTATATAGGTATTCAGCTTCGTTTATCGTCACTTTGTTTAATTACTATCTTTGAATTGCTGAGTTCAATAGGAAAGGAACGTAGAACATTTTACTCTCGAGTAGAAGAGCCGCCGCCGATTGTACCTGCAATTTAGGAAACAGACGAATTTAAACGGCAATACTTTGCGACGGCCTTTGTGTTTTGCACAGAAAGAGAACAATCGCGATCGAAATTACTAGGACGAACGTTAAACTTTCTTTATATCAGCCTAATTAAATGTTCGATAAAACTAGATAATTTAATTTGACTTTTAATTAAATTCATGGAATAAACGATAATTAATTTAATGCTGACTTAAAGAATTTCATCGATAGCACGCTTTGAAAATCTTTAAAGCGTACTTCTTTTCAACTTACCTCCGGCAATCTGATGAGAAGCTCGTGAAATCGAGTCGGCTGTTGAGGTGCGCTGTGTTCGACATAACTTCGCAGACAGTTCATATATCGTTCTTGTATCTGTTCTAATTCCGTTGTACCTCCTCGTGCTAAGGCATACAAACGAGATTAGTTGAAGCATACATTTGATACATTTGATACATTTTGCAACGATATTTCGCGAAATTCAAGACGGAATTCAAATTATTACAATCATTATATATTCATGGCTTGTGAAAATTCAACCCTTCTTCGTGATAGTTCTACATTGCCCGTCCAGATAATTCGTCTTAAAAATGAGAGAGAGCTAAATTACAGTCTACGTAAAAAAAACTATGGTAGAGATTCTCTACGCATGGGAAAATGAAACGCGTGCGGGCTCTTAGAAAGTATCTTGGACTTACATTTCACATCTCCAATTGCAGCGTTGGGAAGAAGATACGTTATATTATATTATAATATCGTGTCATGTAATCGAGGAAGTTAAACGACGCGATAATAACGGAGTTAGCGCAAGCAGCAGAGCTGCGCTCACGGGTCGGCACGTCGCGTTCAGTGAAAGTACTTACCTTGTGAGAGCATAGTGATTACTTTTAGACAGACGTATTCCTCCATCCGTAGCCTCACCCGCCTGAACATTAACGTGACGTACGTGATCTTTTCCACCATGACCCCTACGTCTTGCCGTAATTGGTCCATGGTTATAGACCGACCCATCATGCTGGTTAGGCACGTTTGCAACGTATACATGTTGTTCGATACCTGGTCATGAAAAATGTACTAGTAACAAATTTGAATATATTCTGCATATAATCTTCGAGCAGGAAATGTATTTTCATACATTGTGGTTCCGGAAACACGTGACGTTTATGAACTGATAATACAGGGGAAAATTTAACTGGGAATTTAAATTTACCTTTAATTAACTGGAAATAAAAGGGGAATTTAGTTTGAAAACTATTTTAAAAAAGGTTCATTCGAAAGAAACATAGATGTAAATCGTTGAAATATTCATTACATTACTCGAAACAATTTAATTTTCTTTTTTTGAAAGGATATTTTAAATTTTCTTTTTTCCGAAAAGGAATTTCGGTCGATTCTTTTATAGATCTCTGCATTTCGTCTGAGAGACAAGAAAAATCTATTATTTCTATAACTTCTAAAAATATTAGTCGTATATTACTCGAGAGAGAGTAATGTAAATTAATAGAAATATATTATCGCGCGACATATGTATGACACATGAATTATCATGAAAATACTTACTTCCTGCATAAACTCCGCACCCGTTTCGTCGGTACCGACACTGGTGAACCTGTGTTGACCATGCATCGCTTGGTAGGCGGAGGTGGTCAGTACGAGGAGTTCATGCCACTTGTGAGTGAGCAACCTCGTATGAACTTCAACCGGTAGCTCAAGGTAAAACGGTAACCTTTTGGTCCACTGCACCAACTTGTACACTATGCTGTCTCCTATCTGACACAGCTTCTCACTTAAGTCTGAGTTATGGTCCAGCAGCTCGTCCAAGTTCTGTAACACAAGTAATGTTCACGTTCAATCTTGGGGCAAGACGGTTCATTCGGAAATTAACCGCTACGAAACGTGTCACCGTGTATATTTAACTTCTTAATTAAGAAATTCTCCAAAGAGATTGAGAGAGAAAATAGTTTAACGAAATAAAGTCATATACGCATGCATTCAGTTTCCTAAAATTAAAGAATATATATTTCAATTAAAAGAATTAATTAATTTTTATTGGATATAAATTGATTTATATTAAATTTAATAAGTATATTAAATATAAATTAATTCCTATTAAAAGAATATATATTTCAGCAAGGAAATAGTTGGTTTAAAGAAATAGATTACTGCTAATTATATCAAATGATAAAACAGATGCTTATTAATGACTTTTGCACCTTATATTTGGGGAAATTGCTTTACAAGAAAATGTGTTTTAATATTTAAATGCTGTTAGTTTGAAGGATCCAAGATCTATTGATGCGAAACGTCGTGCATTTTACCACGAAAAGAACGATACAATTGACGTACCCTCAATGTGGCGATATCTTGAAACTCGTCGCAGTCTATGAGGGTTTGGATCATGGTTAGGGTCGCGTCCAGAGGAAAGGCTCGATCCCTCGAACTGCTTACTGCATTGTCTAGCCTTGGCCGTAAATGCACCACCTTAAACACACATCATTTTCCTCGTGAACACAGAATATCCATTTTCCTCTACGAGACCTTCCATCAGCGCAACATATCGCTTGTGTTTTCCTGCGAAGTACAACGCGCTGTTTTACACGTATAACTCACGTATTCTCGTACACATATATATATTTTACATTTATATTAAATTATTTAAGATACATTTGCATCACATTTAGAATCGGAAATACTCATCACGAGGCCCATTGTTTTTTTCTAAGTCTATTCCCGTCAACTATGTTACCCAGCGTCAGACTTTCGAACCTACGTCTATGCGACCTTAAAAAATTGTCTATGGCGCGGAAAAGTCATCCTCGACTAGATAGATAGATTCAGGCGATAATTACGATTCCGTCGGCACATTCCACCCGTCGTACATGCAATCGCCGCAGAGTTCGGCGGCCGCGTATGGTTGGCTTCCTACGTAAGGCCCCGACAGGCACAGCCTTTCACTGACCTTTCGGACCTCGAAACACTTCCTCGGGGTCGGGTATTCGCGGGCACGGAGTGCACGGAAGAGTCAGAGATATCTCTCTCTCTCTCTCTCTCCATACATATATATATATATATATATGGAGAGAGAGAGAGAGAGAGAGAGAGAGAGAGAGAGAGAAATACAACTCTCGTCGATTCGATTTCTGGCCGACTTCGGGGAAAGCTGGTCGCTTCATCGAATACCTTTAAGGTCCACGCGACGATGGAGAACCGTGGGACGCGTTCGTAGTCGAAGGCGCGCGACGAGGAAGGTGCGGGAGCGATGCGGGAGGAGAAGGAGATATACACAGGAGGTGGCTGGAAGGAGGAGGAGGAAGCGCGGGAGGGAGGGTGAGGTCACTGTCCCCCGTGCAGACTTTCACGAGTTACGAAACCGCCGGAGAACTGCCCGTCCTTGGCACCGGCTGTCGCTGATTTTCTATTGTCCCTACCTTCGTCGATGTTGTCGTCGTTCGCCACGACGTTTCCAGGCAGCGATGGATGACGGTGACGGACGACGTTTGACGACCGTTGTGACGCTACTCAGTACAGCTCAAAGCGATCTCTCTGATAGGTATTCGCGATACCCCCCTATTGATTCGTTTATGCAGACGGACCACGCGAAATGATATCCAAGAATATGAATCACGTTTCTATTTATCATAAATTTGTCATAGGGAAAATTCATCTCTCGAGACGATGAGAAAATAAATTAACAGCGAGTAGTGAACGCATCGTGAAACGCATCTCTCGCGATGGCCTCTGATGAAATCAATCGACCACTTGAGTAAGTGATTTCCGCGTTACTTTCGCGGTCGAAAAGGCCGTATATCTTTCTCTTGCTCTCTCTCTCTCTCTCTCTCTTTCTTACGAAAGTGATCTTGCCTTCGACTTCGTGACTTTTTATCCTTTGCAAAGTATCCGCTTCAAAGACGAATGTTTATCTCGTGCATCTCACGTACGATGAGTCGGTCGCGCGGCTCGAAAGTGACCTCCTTAATGGAGCACCGCCGACCGAGGCCAATATTTATCCGGTTTTGACGGCATCGGTTTCACTTTTGGCAATGGCCTCTACCGGGCCATTCGCGCGATCCCGGGCAGTTCCTCCGTTTGCTCATCCGACACGAGACATATTTTTCGGATATTCCCGCTGGTCGCTTCGCTTAAAAAATTTGGGACACGATCTTCCAGATTTTGATATTCTTAGTTATAATATTGCAAGAAAATTACTTCATTCTGTTTTAATTATATTATCAGTAAAGTCATCTTCGTAAATGTACCCTTCGTAATTACCTCAGTAAAATCAATCGTTGTTGCGTAACTTCTGAAACGTTACATCAGGAAACTCAAGAAAATATAAGAAATCTTTATCGACCATCTTTAGAAAAATCTCCGCTTATGTTTCTCCTCTAAAATTGCGCGATACAATGATATACAACATTATTCTGTAAAGATATATAATTTTCAGATACACACAACGGATCTCGCGTTAGCATTGACGACGACGACGACGACGGCGTCAACGACGATCGGTCGACTCTCGCGACCAGGCTACTCGCTCGTTCTGTCTATCGGCTTTCGTAATGTGGGAAACCTTGAGGCTTGCGCAAGCCAAGTCGTAAGAAAGTGAAATTGCAATGAGGAGTTCATTCATTTCAGGATCGGCGCGAGGGAAACCGACCGACACACACCGAATTCAGTATTTATTTCGTGCAATTCAATATTGTCGCGTCAAAAATCACAGATTCTCCGTTCATAGACGTCTTACCATCGTTTAAAAAGTGGTTTATCTAAAAATTTAATTACACAACATGATGAACAGGTTGATTAGTCGCCAACAAATATCAACGTAAATTTATACGTGCTCCTTCTCCGCGAATAATTGTTAATTTTTTTCCTTTCTTCGGTATTAACTACCGACTCTACGCTTCTCAGACGAACGAGTCTTTCGCGTATGATTTTATTAAAATTGTTATGATTGTTTTTTCATTATAAACCCCTATTTCGTTATAAATTTTTTCGTTATAAATTCCATCGGCCAGAAGGCCACCGTTCTCTCCGATTTATCGATGACGTCTCTATGACGTAAATATTTTCTGTTTCGCCATTAAAGGGCAGTAAGACCGGTAGGATCTCTCTGGGGAACCATTTAATTAACGGGTATCGCGTACAATCTATCATCATTCCCTTTTCTACAGCACGCCAGGCAGAGCGCGAAGTGCGGCACGCTTCGCGATGATTAATCCGAGATTCCTACGCGCGATCGCAACAGGTTCCTCGCTGTCATAGATTCGCAGATATCGATGATGCAATTCTGATTTCATCGAAGTGGTTCGATCTCTATTTTCCCAGGCAAGGATATCGATATCGCGTGCAAGCTATGATCGAGCGCGACGCGTGCTTTCCGACAGGCAACTAAATTGCAAATCGTAGTGGAAAAAATAAAACATAAGAAAATCTAGGAATTTTCCAGAATTGATCTTCGAGCCCAGTACGCATCAGTAACGGAACCTTCCGTTCTTCAAACTCAACTTCAACTCGACATTACAAAGCAGTTTAATATAGATATTAAAAAACAGATTAATGAGCACAGTAGACACAGTAGCCGCGCGAAGAAGCGAGTCTCGCACGTTCGACCGTTCGATCTTTCGATCGTCGAGATGAAAGATCGTCATCGTGGTGAGGATTTCGAGCGATCTCGCCGCCGCCGCCGTATGCAGCTGCTTCGAAAGTGAAAGCGAAGATGCCTGCGGGACGTTCTCGTCAGAGCGCCCTCGCCTGCCGGCGGCTGCAGTGAAGAGTCAACTTTTGTGTTGACCCACGCTCGATTTCTAACCGGGACTATGCCGTATAAATCACGTAAATTGCCGCTAGTGGCAAGCGAGAGGGATTCAAGGGGGTCGAAGCCGCGAGGACGTTGATCTACATGTACCCGCTGTGATCGCGAGCGAAACGGCGACGCAAAAAGAACAGGCACCTCCTTCTCTCGCACACACAGATGGGTGACGGACTTTCGGATCGCATAATCGCGCTCCGATCGCGGGCCGACTTTTAGAAAGTTTCCGCGAATATCTCACGCACATCACACTCCAGCGACGGCGGGTGTATGTGCACGTCCCGCGGCCGAGATTAATCTGCATTACGACGACACAACAACATCGACCACCACCACGACGACGACAACTACGACGACGATGATGACGAGGTTCGCCTACCGCGGCTTGTCTTGCGTAACGCACGGATAATTAGGGGAAATGAGTAAAAGCTGTTATGCGCTGTTGCAACGAAACTAGTTCTCTGAGACGCGCGATTCGGTTTCGCGAGGCACGCGGAAGACGGCGAGATGGATTGCCTCGCGATCCGCTTTGGCGAACCGCTCGCCGTCGAAGGCGATAATTCGCACGGTTCAGTCCCGGGCGATCGTCGGGGATAAATCATTCGAAGTGAATGCGTCGAATGCATATTTCTTCTCGGATGCTTTACCGCGGTATAATGCTGCTACTTCGCAATTCCGCGGGAGAACTACGCGAGTGTTCGAGAGTCTTCGGCTGATTCAAACGATATTATCAGGCTCGCTTTGCTTTTCATTTTCACACGATAGGCTCTTCGATCAATTTAAGACGTATTTTCCTTTAATTAAAATATAAACGATTGATAATTAGTTTTGAAAATTTCTCATTGAATCTTAAAATCTTATACACTCCAAATCAAGTGGACGCTATTTTTCTCATATCGTGAATTTTAATTTCCAAAATATATAAAACGTCGAATATAGCAAATTGAAAAAATTGTTTCCTAATTTTGCTAACCGAAAAATAATTCATCTCACATTTGTCATTATGTTTCTATGATTGATTCTTTTTTTCATTTCGAATGATTCAACCGCACGATGATTAGCACGATATTGATTATTTATTATCGATTTATTAAAGACGATTAATTAATTCGAATAATCATGCATTCGGTACTCACTTCGGAGGGATTGGTGAGCGCTGTCTTCAGGATCGTCCCGTTGACGAGGTGGCCCGTGTGCGCGGGGTGACTCGGGTGGCTCGGGGTGGGTTGTGAGTTGAGCGGGTCGCCCGACGTGATTTTATGGTGATGAAGGAAGCTGCCGGCAAGCTGCGCATGCTGCTGCTGCTGCTGACTGTGATGAGCCGCAGCGGCCGCGGCCATGTGTTTATCCAACATGGTCGAGCCCATGGTGCCCTTACTGCCACCCAAAGAACCCGACCCGTTTACACCGCCGACGTTGCCGCCGCCACCCATACCGCCCCCTATACTACTACCGACGCCGCCCGCCTTGTTGCTCTTTTTGTGCTTCTTGTACTTCACCTGCGGTCAATCAACAGGCGACCTTTCGCATCGATCAAACACGCGACTCGACGCCACGGCCGACTTCCGGGCAGAGTCGTCAGCCAACTCGGATACTTTATTTCTCACTAACAGCTTGACATTTTATCGCTTCACCATTCGCTCGGGTATGTTCCTGCGTATTTTCTTTCTCCGTAGGTGTCAAAGTATAATACGATACGTGAGTAATCTTTGAGAAGATATAACAGAAGTATAGAAACACATATAGATTTTCCTATACATTTTTTGTTTTATTATTTTTTTTTCCGTTATATCTCGTCCAAGGCAAGAGAGAATTAAATAGTAAAATGCCCGGAATTTCGCCGATTTCTGTCGAAATCTTCGAAAAGTAATTGAATTTGCAAACGAAAGCGAATTATTCCGCCCAGTTTTGCGATTGAATATTACATTATTCCTAGTCGTCTGCGTTTCTCATTATTGTATTCGATTATTTGTTACACGTACACATTCTCGTCACTGGATATTCGAAACGTAAATGCAGATAAAATCAGGAATAATGACAGTAATACGAGATGATAAATTAGTAAAATCGGAAAGAACGTATCGGAAAGATCTTCATTTTTAACCAAATCAGTATTTCCCGCTCGTGTAGAAATGTCAACAACGGGCTTTAATGTAATAACACGTGGATGCATAATTAACTAGTTTAACAGATGGTGAACAATCGAAGTTATAATTTAAAAGGTATTACGCGCGTTGTTTACGCGCAACAAGTTAACACGAGTTTGCGCGAACATTACGTCGGAGTAGTCGTTCGATCGACATTTTTCACCCGGTGCGTACCTTGTAGAGGTTGTACACTGCACCAGAATTTCTACCCCCAGGCATCCGGTCTTCCCGAACTGCCTGCAGGACCATACCCTGTTCGATGCATTTCTTGAATCGGCAGTATTGACATCTGTTCCTTTGCGCTTTCGTGATCTCGCAACCGCCCTCCGCCACACACGTGTATACCCTCCTATTTTGTACAGTTCTCTTGAAGAACCCTTTGCACCTGCAGACAGATCGATCGAACTCTCCTAACTTGTAATCTACGAGCTTGTCAATTTACGATTGAAAAATTTCCCATCGTAATTTACCTGTCAACTTACAGAAAATGTTGATTGTAGAATAATAAAAGCGGACTATAAAAAAGAGCGTTAAATTGTAAAAAAAAGGCGTAATTCCAAAGATTTACAGTTTTTTTATTGAAAGTTTTATAAATTTTTTATTTCTATTTTATGAAATTTCTGAACATTTCATTTAATTCTTTCAATTTGTATGAAAATGCGAGCATTTGCAATGCATTTCATTTTGATGATCAAGAAAACTTCGAATTCTCCAGTTCTCTTGCATCGTTCGAAAATATAAGAAAAAATTTGAAAAGAAAAATGAATATCAAAAAATCCAGACGCCTCAAACAATCTTCAAGATCGCTTTCGAAACGCATGCGAGCAACTGTGAATATCCGTTATCGTTACAATTCAGAGAAGCGCGTGTCGACTTTGGTTTTATCAATAGGACTGTTTATCTTGGGGAGTATCTCCCTGTAGGATATGACGAGGGTTGGAATCAAGGATTCATCCGCACGAAGTTACGAGTATCGTGGACACCGGGGAAAAACTTGTCGCGGACTTTCCTCGTCTAATCCACTCGCTCCTTCGCTCGCCCGCTCGCTCGAGACAACGAAAAAGTTAGACAAGGACGCTGGTACGAGCGCGCGAGCAAGTATAACGATACCCTGTGGTAATTTTACGGATTAATCAAAAGTGTTGCTCGAGAAGTCTACAGAGCATAGTCGGGACGCAACAAGTATCTCTCGCCTGATATCGCTAAAACGTGCGAGGACGGGCCGAGAACTATGGGATTACCCTGGTTAATTTTTAATCTCGTTAGAAAGTACGGTGCTTACGCGAAAACTAATATACTTTGACGGAATACTCTCTTTCAGCGACCGCTGAGGAAGAGAGTGGATGTTATTAGCAAGTTCTTTGGAACGAGCACATAGATCCAAAATTTGGAATATAAAAATATACTGGAGTATACAGAAAGCTTCTTAATTGCCTTTCGTTATTTGTAGAAATAAATATAGAATGTAGAAGAAGATACTAAGTAAAGAAATACAGGTTGCTCGAAATTAAGTTTCCAAAGTATGTGTAAAAGTATCGAAAAAAATATATCAAGTGAGGCTAATTAACTAATTTTTCCACTATCAATTAAATATATCATTAAACATTTCGGACATTTTCTTAAATTCGTCTGAATGATCTATATACGTTTTATTTCACGAGCTTTAGATTTTAGGTTCTGAAATAGTGATATGCGATCAAAAAGTATTCTATGAAAATTGAACAGTAAATTTTTTAAATATGGTTGTTATGTCATAATTTAGTATGCTGACGGAGAAAAGTGCGTTGTTCCTCTTTTACATTCTCTAGCCGATCGGATGGAAACACGATCGGATTAAAACGACTAAAATTAAAGTTGCGAGAAACAAAATAATAACGATAAATCAGAGAAATAAAACGTACAAGTGAACTGTCAAAAATATTTAAAATTGGACTGCAAAACGCAGCTAAATGAGTATGTTCGAATATGTAGTTGACAAAGGTCAGGGGTCGTGACAGGTTACACAAATTTGTGACCAAGCACGGCGGTTCCGACTACTACTCTCCGTAGGTAATTTCGGTATAATTAGCTCTAATTAAGCGAGTCAGTCGATTCTTCGGGTTGCAATATGCCGCTCGAAAAATGCCCTCGTTGGATACACATCCACGAGTTCAAATTGCAGTAATCGATCTCATTAGCGCGACTCTATCGTATTACACGTGCGTACGCCCATCGCCAACGCACACACGAATAAATCTGTTTGTCACAAAATGAAGCGCGCGTGGGCTCCGCATTAGCTCCTGAATATAATCGCGAAGTGCATCTTCCGCACATGCGCGGATACGCAAATAATTATGGAATATTCACGCGAATTTCCTCCTTGGGTCGAAGCTAACGCGAGCTCTGGGAAAAATAAGTGACTCCGAACAACAAAGACAGACGAAGAAACTTATCGGTCGTCGTTAACGGAATTATCAAGCGTTATTATTTTGTATCATAAGATCTCTTTATACTCACAAATTTAACTCTCACGGTCAGTCACGCGCAAGATCGTAATCGTAAAATTTCAAAATTATACTAGAAAACGGGAGGAAAAGTTGTGAAATAAGCAACATTAAGACAGCCCTCGCAGCCGCGACGATTCGCCTCGTACCATAGTCGTTTCCTGCGAAACGAGCCACCGACACCATGATCGCGAAGACACGACACAGTACTACTCACCCTTCACACGTGATGATACCGTAGTGCAGGCCGGTCGCCTTGTCTTCGCAGATCATGCAAATCATAGGCGTCTCGTCCTCCTCGTGTTCTTGGGGTGGCAACGGCGGCGCCGGCGGCGCTATCGATATAGATTGCGAGGCCGCCTCGGATTTGACGACCCCGCCGTTGCTCACCCACGGCTGGCCGGAACCGGAGGCGGTCAGATTCAGCGCCTGCATCTGTTGAGCGGCCGGCAGTTGTGTGAGATCGCCGGCCCATAGCCTCTCCATATTGAGTGGTGGTCCGGACGAGTATGACACCGACGAAGTGGGCGGTTTGCCCCTGGACTCTTGACCGAGGTTCAGCAGCAGTTGGGCGGCAGACTCCTCCGATGAGGAGCACGATGCCGCCGCCGCCGCGGTCGTCGTCCACGACGCCGCAGGCGGCGGTACCGGGTCCAACGGCGCCGACCATATCATCGTCCGGACGCCGCCGATCTCACCCATTATCACTGTGGGCGGGGGCCGCGGTGGTGCCGGCGCTGCTCTCTGCGCCGGTGGTTTCATCCCTTCGCCTGGAAGTACAGGTGGATAAGCGTTATCTGCAGAGAGAGATCGATCGTTTCGAAAAGATATACGCACATTCAAAAGCAGATATCGGGTAAAAAGAACCTCAGGGTTAGGTTAGGTGTACTAAAATTTGGTTGCAGAAACTGCCAAATTTAATCGACGATAAAAACTTGGCGAAATTGAGACACAGTTCTTACGTACAATGGAGATGTTTTTCCGATTATCTAAAAGTTGATCTTCCTGCATAAAACGGTTCTATCTCTGGTTAAGATTAAGATTAGATAATATGTGAATATCGGGTGATAAATATCGAGTGGCGTTCTAGGAAACATGCAGTTACAAAAAAAAAACATGCTCATCATTTTTGCACAAAGAGATCGGGGGAATTCTTTTTAAGAGCTCGACACGACACTTACACGAAGTCCCTGTGGTGGTGGCACCAGTGGAGACGCAACTGGCGCTTCCGCTGGTGCTGGTGCCGCCACTCGTGGAGACGGCGGTGGCGTTCTGGCCGTAGCCGACGCTGCTGATGACGCCGTTGAGTAGCCTCTGCGTGGCGAATCCCTGCACGCCGGTGTTCTGCGACCAGAACTGATGATGGTGCGCCAACAGGTGCGGCGGTACCGAGGGTGCCCGCGGCCTCGCCGGCGTCGGCGAGGTCTGCGGCGTTTGCTGCTGCGGCCCGTGCGCGGTCCCACCGCCCGGACTGACGCTCTGGCTCGGGTTGAACTGTGACGACGGGCTATTTCGGTGACTAGGCTGGCTGGGGGCTTCCGTACGACCGCTACCGGCATTGCCGCCGCCGCCTCCACCTCCGTCAAACACCGAGTTGTCGGACTCTTGGTCCTTGGTTTGCGCGGACGACAAGTCGCCCTTATCCGGACTATCGCTCCTCGAGGTGGCTTCTTGGCCCATCGGAGTCGACGAGACCGCTTGGACCGGAGAGTAGGGCGACGATCTGGTTGGCGCGGGAGTGGCGGAACGTTGCTGCTGTGACGGTGGTGGTTGCTGATGGTGATGTTGCTGCTGCGGCTCGTCGACCACCCTGAAGCTCACCATGGGGCTGGCGTCTGGGAAGACCGAGTCGGGCGATGCACGGTCCGGGCACGTCGCGTCGCGGCCTTCCTGGCTGCTTCCTCCGCCGCTGCCAGCACCACCACGGAGAGAGTCTCCTCGCGGTGTCCCGGGACTCGGGCTGCCCAGCAGGTACTCGCTTTTCACCGTGACCCCGGGGCAGCCCGGCGAGCTCGGCGTGTTCGCCTCCGGCGACAGGGTCGAAGTGTCCGCCATGCTCTCCCCTGGAGCAGGAAAGTTTATGGGTGAAGGTGCGTCCGCCGGCTGGTTCCCGAGTGGCGAGCCTTCTGATCCGAGGGATACCGGGGAGTCTGAGAAATAAGGCGTTGGTCTCACGTTTATACTCGGTGCACAGAGTATGCCGCGAGTCATTCTTTTCTCGGTCCTCGGACACGCTCGAGGTTGAACACAAGGTGCGTGCTGCGTGATCGTAACTCGTACGCGTTCGTGAAGAGGGTTGTGCCGGAAGGTTAGAAAGTTCGGTGATTGGAGAGTTGAATAAGATTGGAGGAAATTCATTGAGCACCGTCCGACGTTGCGATCACGCATATAGTCTAATACCAATTAGTAGTGCGAGACGCGACTTCGAGGATAAGGATAAAACGATGATTCGCCATGACGTAACTTCTTTCCCTTAAAGCATGCCACATCGCATTCGCGCATCGACGCGTTAAGTACCAACTTGGTACTTTGCGAGTCGACAAACGAAATTAATGCGCGAAATACGGATAGCCCTCACACCGTCTTTCCTCGCGAAAATAAACCAAGAGATCACGCGTTTATTTGAACGCGTTGATTCGTAGCTACGTGATACAATGTCAAGCTGGTTTCTGCGTCTTACGAAAAACAAGCGTTGTTGCAGCTTATCACTAAAACGGCAAATGACAACAGCGTTTTCTTATTTGACTTTGCCAACTCGCGTTACTTCGTCGTGGGCAACAGATGTCTATGTCCAAAATTCCGAATGTTAGAGAGTGCCGTTAGAGTGAGGATAAATATTGCGTATCGCGCGGTCTGCTCGCAGTGTGGTGTGTGCGTTCGTCCGCGACGGAACGAGAAGATGCAGAAGATGCAGCCGGCCCTTCGTTTCGCTTACGAGGTAAGCCGGAGAAGCCACAAACGGCATCGACGACAAATCCCGAGTGCATTACGTCTGATTACGTCAATCCCGATAAATAACCTGCCCATTATTGCGCAATCAATGAAGTAACGTAGGCGCCGAGCAAAATAGAGATCTCTAATAAAAATAGTGCCTCCCATAATAGATTCCGATACGCGAAACGTGATAAATCCAACGTACTCTACACGCCCATGATCCCGCACCGGTGCTGTGCTCTCTTACTCTCTCTCTCTCTCTCTCTTTCTCTCCCCGTGGATGATACTGTTCTAAGTTATATCCGCGCCTGATAAACACGCTGTTCGTTTTACTTTGGCGCATTTTATCGCGCTATATAAAAGAGCATTTGTCGGAGGGCGCGGATCGCACAATCTCTCGGTTGGGAAACAATCGTTCCTTCGAATATTTTTTGACCTTTCGTGTATGAAACAGAAGGCGCGAAGGGATCGCGCGCGTCCGGAAGATTTCGTGTTAAGAGCGTTTAAAAGTTTCATTTTTCCACATATATTTCGCGGAACGATCTTCCGACGTTAAAGATTTTCTAATTTCATCGTGGCGCATTGCTGATCTCGCGCTCCTTCGCGAGAAGAATCGGCGAACTTTCGAAAGTGAGTTATCTCATTCACCGCAACACCGCTGGAACAATCGCGCCGCGACTTCGATAAATCTCGCCTGGTGCTCGTTATTGTTTCGCGCGAGCACGTTTATTTACGATTTAATTATCTCACTAGTTGCCTTTTCGCACGGGCGAACTTTGGAATATCGGCCTCAGGTTGGGCAATGACAACAGACCGTACGGAATTGTATATACGTGATGAATGAGTTCGCGGGTATCCGATGTATAGAGTATAGATTTCAAGATAACGATCGAATAAGTAGTATGAGAAAGATTTCAAAACACAGTAGATTGCCATGTTTATCCTTCTTGGCACAACTGCCCCTAGAGGAAGTAACGTTTTTCTCAACAGTGGAAAGCGTTCTGTGCCCCATAATGGAGAAATTACGGCGGTACGTTGTAATTGCGTTAAGGGAAAGAGCCATTAGAGAACCCGTTTGCTCCGGGCGCGTTCTTATCGTGCCCTGTGGTGCAGAAAGGTGCACCGAGATACACGTGCGACGTGGGGGAGTAACCTTGCTGTAATCGCAAATATAGTATATGTGTATGTGTGTTGTATGTACGTATATTATATTGCTCGAAGTGTAGGAACCAAAATATTCCACGTGGTTGCACGCAAGTTTAAGTGTCATGTTTAACTATATATATTAATATTTGACCATTATGTAATTATTACGTACTGATTTAATAATTGTTTAAAATATTATTTAATTACTCGATGCAATTTAGTATGATTAAATTGTTTAATAACACTTATTACAAAATAATTTAATAATTATACAGCTCTTTTTGTAATGATGTGAAAGTCTATAATATACTTACTAAAATTGCTTGAGAAATATAGATGCTTTCAGTTTCGAAATTTAATAATTCGTTTATAGCATTCATCTTTTCTTCTTCGGGCAAAATGAAAAGTTGAAGAGTACGAAGACGCACATGCAACATGCAGAAATCTGAATTTCCGATTAATCCGTTTGAGCTAGCCGAGTCTTCGAGCACGAGGAAAGAGCGAGATATTTTTATGCAACCAAGTAGAATAAATCGCGCTGCCCCAGATGAGATAAAAATCGCGCAGCACGACACAAAAATGTAATAGTCGGTCGGAGTGCTGTCGCCTCTCGCGAAAAGGATGTAGTGGCTACGGCTGCTCGTGTAGGTCAAGGAAGGAATGCAGTTGACAAGGCCGGGTTGCGATTGCGGGTACTTAGGTGCCAGTTTCCGAGCTATTAATAGGTCGATCGCCGTGGACATTGGTCGAGCGAATTATTCATTCGCGAACTCTCAGTGTCTCATGATATATCGCGCGTCCCGTGATTTGGTAGAGAATGAGAATTCGGATATCTGGCCTTGCGAATCGTCCGACGACCCCGATACGTATACTTTCTCAGGCCGATTACACTTCGCTCAATTGCACATACGTAACGCGATGTATTCGCATATCGAGCTCGCGATCGGCCGCGCTAATGTCAATGCTCCGCGATGACGCGTGAGTGACGTGCGACTAACGCAACAATGGAGCGAAACGGCTAAAGATAATAAACGCGTACCCATTGCGAGATCTAACGAGGGTATTGATGCTCGACGGTGATAGCCGAATTTTTTCGAGATGCCCCGCGCGAAATAGTTCCCGGTAATGGCATAATGCAGTTACATATCGCGGACTTATGCAAGACGCGCACCATCACTTTCGCCGTTCCCCTTTCACTTCGCGCGTCTTTTTTTAGACATTCGGATTTCTTAACTAATTCGGAATCAGCTTTTCTTCGGTGAAAAGGTCGAGGTGTACACGAGCGGATTTTAAATTAGTAAGCGATAGAACGCGAAGCGTTAAGCTTTAAGAGAGAAAAAGCGGACAGATAACGGAATATCCTTTAATTATTTTAAAGTGGACTTCAACTCATGAAGCTTATTACAAATTGAAACGTTGTTGAAAAGGTCGAAAGCGAAAGGTTATAAGATCCGTTTCTTTTCTCTGGAAGAAATTTACGAAACCGACGAAAGTTCGGCTAAATTTGCCGAAGGATTTGTCGGTGGAATGAAAAATACGACAACGTAAGCCGGTCTAGCAAAAGCGATGCTCGTGAATGTATAATCCTCGAGATAGTGAATGGCGATGTTTACCGAAGAGCGACGCGTACAAATTCTTCGCGTCCAAGCACTCGTAATAATTGAAGGCGAAATAGGGATCGAGTGTGAGCTGCGATCTAAAGTAGTGCCGGAAGCGGAAGTAGCTCTGGTAAGCCGCCATCGGGAAGTTATTGTAAGGATGATATGTAGACAAGTAGGGCAGGAAACTTGGCTGTTGCATCCCATAAAGCGCCGTTAGGTCCATACTCGGCGAATTTCTCCAATCTTCACGGCCCCAGTGGAGATTAGTGACGATCGAGACGTTACTTCCCGTGGGAAACATTTCGTTTTGTTTTTCTTTCCTAATCTCGTATAGATTCACGTAGGACACACACCGCTAATAATTAACACTCGCAATTTATACTCGTGAGAAATATCCACCGCGCAAATTGTGATAACTTCTTTTTATTATATACCGTCTCTTCTTTTGCTTCTCTTTTTTGACTCTATATATCCTCTCGCAAATTTTTTTTTTCGACGTCATAAAGCACGTGGTGCTTTTCGTTTATTTGCATATTCATGTAATTCGCGTAAAAGAGGCATTCACCGTTTTATTTTGGGAACGTTATGGAAACGAGAATATAACGCTCGTCGGTTTAGCACCGATCGCGATTGGCATGTGAAAATAGTATCAGACTTTCGGATATGATATGCTATTTTGTTTAGAATACAATATGCATAACACCCGCGGAAACGTGCGTCACTCCCGCGAGCGATTGTGTATCCGGTAAACTGACGTCAACGAGAAATCACAATCGATTCATTTCGAAAAATTAAATTACAATCGTCGCACGACATAATTATGCAACCATAATAATCACGACGTGCACTTTATGTGTATTTTTAATTGTTTTCGATACACCATTCCCGGACAAAGCGCGAATGGACAGCTCGCCTGACTAAAGTGGGAATGTCACTACTTCCCGCACGCCACGCATAAAAATTGCACGATATTGTCGCGGAGTAAGTGGTATAAAGTTGCTTTGATCAGCCATCTCTCTCTCTCTCTCTCTCCTGCGATTCCCAATGACGCGATCTTTCTACGAGTATACTTCGATCGCGAGCGATTTACTGGGCACACGGCAAAAAATGTTGCGCGATCGCGCGACACATGGAAATCAATTCAATCTGTTACGCCGAAGAGTCTCGTGAGCGCGGCCGTATCGATCGCGTATCGATCGCGCGCGAACGCATACCAACACGCGATGCCGGGATTCGCGTTCTCGTCGGAACGATCGTCATCCGGCGACGAGCGTCCGCGAACGCCGCTCGCGGCGGTGTCGCTGGGGTAATTGCGTCGTACACTCGTTGAACTGTGTGACGTTGGTTCACGTGCAGCGGCGGAGGCGGAGGTGGCGGTGGCCGCCAAGGAAGATCAATGATTCCGCGGTATCGCGGGTCACGGCACCGCTGAGCGAAGCGTGCGTTCTCCTCGGCGAACCGGAACGCGTGTCTCTCTCGCGGCGCGCGCGAACGTGTCGTCAAAAGATCGAAGAGGGTCACGTTAAAATCGCGTCACCATCCGCGTTTACTTCCTCTCTTGCTCTCAGCTGGTGGTCCAGCGGCGATTTCCCCGGCGCAACAACACGGTCCGACACACGCGGTCGTCACGTCGCGACCGCGGCCAACGGCAGTCTCTGACCTTTAAACCTCACCGCCGGTAGGTCGAGGGTCATTGGTATCGGCCGTGTGTTCGCGAGGCTGCATCGAAAAATCGATGCAGCCCGGTTGTGCAGAGCGGCCGTCGTGACGCGAGGTGCGCGCGAGATTTCACCGCGACGTCATTGTCGTGGCCGATCCATCCGGGCACGACGTTGATCGCTCGACTGCCCTCGTCGTCGTGATTCTTTTCTCATACGTTCTCCACCCTCGACTACACACACACTCTCTCTCTCTCTCTCTCTTTCTGCGTTCTCCGTCGATCACGTGCGTGCCTTTCTTGTGGATGACCCTTCCTCGTCTCGCTCGGCGAGGTTCGCGATGCGCGCGCGACGATCTACCGCGTGGTTACGCGGGTTCGGGCGAAGCCGAACTAGCACCGGTGCACGTCCGGGACGACCGCGTGGGTTGATATTCAACCCTGCACCGCC